AGACTTGGATTCAGTTTCTTTCTCTTCTCCTTACAGAACATTTGAGAGCTCTGTGAATGCTGTTAATTTGTCATCTGGCTTAGCATTTCATAAGCAGAAGCAGACACTTACTTTTTCATAATTGTTTCTCAGGTAATATTTTTGCACAGAGGTATCAGCAAAGTAAATCACAACAGGAGGTGGTAAGTGTCCAAGGTCATTAGATATGAAAGAGCAAATATAACCAGCTGCCATTTTAGAACTGGCTGCAATGGATCTGGTGTCTTACACCCTTTGTCTCATTTAATCTTCACATAATGTCATATCACAGCATCAGTATTGTTACCACTATTTTAATGATGAGAAAACTGAAGCTCAGAGAGATTAATTTGCCCAAGTTTTTCAGAACTCAATTAACAATTACTTACAGGCACACCTCAATTTTCCAGGCACTGTGCATACAATAGAGATACGAAGCTTAGTTGAAACAAAACATGGGGCATGCCCTCATGGAGGTTATAGTCTCATATAGAATACAGGCTCTAAACAAATATCCACACAACTAAGTGTCAAATTGTGCATTTGGAAAGTTTTAACCTGGTGAGGACACTTAGGGAAAACAGTATTACAGGAGAGAGCTGACAGTGACTGACCAGAATTTAATCATGGAAAGAAAGGAGGAAAGATTCTTTCCAAGGTAGTAGGGCAGGATCAGGACACAAAACCATTCATCTGACTTAGAAGTTCCCAAGCCAAACATTTTTAAATCCACGAGTTCAAAATAATACAATTAAACACACAAATCTCATTTGCCATCTATAAAGACTGCTAGAAAATAGCTGAAGCTGGTGAATAAAGGGTTAAATCCAGTACTTATCCTGAGTTGTATATACAAACAATAATAAACATATAATTCCTGAGAGTAATCAAATAGGCTAAGTTTCTCTTAATAGAAATAAATATTTCAGCTACTTGGTTAAAAATTCATTATATTAATAGAATTAATATATTGCAGTGGATAATGAATTACGAGATCTAGGCAATGATCTATAATGGCTACTAATATCACAAAAAGGGAGGCAATGAAACATTATTTGCCTCATAATAGAAATTTGCTACACATTTATGAGGTAGCATTGCCAAAAAAAAAAAAAAAAAAAAAAATCTTGAATCTACTCATGCTTTTAAGGTACCAATTTACAGGAAACAGAACAGACTAAAGAACATGTCAAAAGATAACACAGAAATTTTATCATTAAAATCAGGAAATTCGCAGGGAAAAAAAAATGACCCAGTTTCTTCACCAAATCGAAGTTAAAGGGGTAAAAAGGTAGAAGGAAACCTTCAGATTAAAAGAGACAAGAGTATATTCACCATTAGGGTCCAGATTCAAACAAACTGTTAAAAAATGTCTATGAGACAATCAGAGGAACCTAAACCCTGACTTCATACTGAATGTTATTTCTTAATATTATTAAGCAATTTTGGTACAATTTTAAGTGTAACAAAAATTGCAGTTAATAATACTGCAATTGCATTTTAAATAAAAAAGAGTCCTTAACTGTTAGAGGAATACTTGGGAATATTTACAAATGAAATTATGTGAGGGATTTGTCTAAAAATAATCTCAATAAAACAAGATTAAGTGAAGATATAGGTGAAACAAGATTGGTCATGTTCTTGTTAAGATTACTGAATTTTAATAATAACATGGAGATTTAGTATACTCGACTATATTTCTGTATATATTTAAACATAAATTTTAATAACAAAGTTGATATAATGTATTAATATAATACTGTCTTTTAAGTCTTTTTCCCTTGTTCCTCTGTGCCTCCTTCTATAAAGGCTCTTGACCCTTTGTTAAGTCTAATGTTCTCTTTTAAAGATTCAATAGAACAATAACAAACCAAGGATTTCCTCCATCAGAAAAAAAGGAATCATCTGAGCCATGGGGGTAACCTTGCTTTAATTATCACCCTCTTTCTTTCTGAACAAGTTAGTTCTTAACCAAAGTGTAGTTCGGCCAACTCTGAAATATGCTAAGAGAAGACATACTTTTCAGCCTTGACCTTAGGCAGCCTAAAAAGTGCACACCCTTCAAAACTATTCCGATTACACCCTGTCACACCTCTTCCTCATTTTTCAACTTCACTTTTTTACCATCCTGCATTTTGACATCATGGACATTTACAATTATCAGCAAGGACACAGTCCTTCTCCATAGTAACTGTAAGTTTACTTAGTGTTTATATAGAAAAGTCCAGAGTCAGTGCCATGCACACTCAAATGGAGCCTTAGTGTCCAGTCCTCTCAATTCTGAGGGGCAGTAAGTTAGGCCCCAAAAAGTGAGGGGACTTGCCCAAAACTATATACTGAAGGTAAGCACAAGACCTAGGCACTCTGAAATGACAAACACAGCTTTCCTCTATCTCCAAGAACAAAAGATCACTCAGAACTATGATGTTATGATTCATTTTAGCCAATGTGTCCCCAAAACATACAATTCTATGCAGCATGGTTGACTCCCTGGGGGCCACCTCCTCTTTCTAGCCCAATAGTGTTAATGGTGAGCAGTGGCAGGTCCCAGACACAGCAGAAGAGCGTGGAGGCCTGAAGGTGCTGCCAAGCCACAAAATGGGTTGTTCTGTGAGCAATGCAGGGTGGACCATGCTTTTCCACACCTGGAAGATGCCACGTATGCTTTCAGCCTATAGTGTGGACCCTTTTTTTAGTCTTCCCATAGGTTTCTTGACTTTATATATAGTTTCAAAAACTTTCTGGATGGCCTGGCCGGCGTAGCTCAGTGGTTGAGCGTTGACCTCTGAACAAGGAGGTCATGGTCCGATTCCCGGTGAGGGCACATGCCCAGGATGCAGGGCTCCATCCCCAGTGTGGCAATGATTCTCTCTCACCACTGAAGTTTTTATCTCTCGCTCCCTCTCCATTCCTCTCTGAAATCAATTAAAAATATACATTTTTTTTAAAAAGCCGTCTGTATAAAAAAATATACTAGTGCACATTTTAAACCATCTCTTCCTCTCACTTGATAATTTTAATTTTGTTCATTTTTTTAAACAGATACAAAAATGAATAAAATTCACATCCTTTATTAGTGCTTTGGCATTGGTCATTGTTAAGCTGAAGCAATTGGCTAAGTGACCGCTAGAAATAATGTTAAAATTTCTTCTGTGGTAATTTCCTATAAATGCATACAAACAACTCTCCATCACATTCTATAAGTTTTATAGATTTCCAAAAAAGCCAGACCCAAGAATAACAAGCAACCTGCCCAAGGTCTCAGAGGTGATGGGGACATTGCAAAGAGCTAGGCCACCAACCACTGACCCCAAACCCACTCCTTCCACACAGCACAAGAGAGAGGAAAGAACCATGTGGGTGTCTTTCCGAGATCAGTGGAAGAACAACTCCCCAGCTAGGGACCATCAGGACCGTAAGGCCATGTACGTTTTCATTCCCTTTCATGATCTTCCTGTGCAAAGGCCAAAGTAAGTGCTGCGCTTTTACAGGGCTGTAAACTGGCTGTGGGAGAACAGCCTTGGAATGAACCCGATATTGGGTGTGTGTATATGGTTCATGACTCTGCCGTTTAGTGCACATGAGTCACCCACAACCCAGCGAGGCTCCAACATAAACCATGTCCTCAGGCCATGCCCTCAGCCCCTGCCACAAGCTTATTCACACATGATGTGCTAGCCTGGCACCCGAAACTCCCAAATCATCTGTGAGTCAGAGCTCATTACACGGGATACTTCAGGGTTGCTATCCTAATATTTGGCCATTATTTTCTTAATTGAACCAAGGAAAGGAACCTGGGAAATGAGGGGGCCAAGCTGTTATTTATGCAGTAAAGGATATGAGGCAGGACCAAAGGCACCAAGAAGAAAACATTCCAAGTTTAGCTTTCCCTAGAGGAGGTCAACAGCTCTGGAGCCAGACTCCTCAGTGCCAAACCCAACTCTGCTGCAGTATATGTGGGATCTCAGGCATATTACCTCTTCCTCAGCTTCCTCATCAGTAAATGGAAATAACATAGCATCTGCTTTGTAGGGCTTGTTCTTAGTAGGGCAATAATACCTAGAATGTATATATAAATAAGTCCTATTATAATTTTGCCTTCAGAATACTTTGGCTTAAAACCATCTATGTCATAAATATATATGAAGTTAACCCATTAACCCATGGCAACAAAGACTACCATGAAAACCTGAATTTGAATAACTTTGTTAATTACAAGTTTACTCCATATTTGATATCTGGAGTTGGAAAACAAAATAAGTTAGACACTAGTGACCAATATAAACCTCAATGACATCTCCTGTGACTTTAAAAAATGCAATATTTAATCATTTTTTTCATGAAATTCTACCTTAGAACTATGTCCATGTATCTCTTCAACTTTGAGGTCCGTGGGCCTATTTTTCTTCTTGCTAAAGTTCAAAATCTAATTTCTAACACAGGTTACCACTGTAATAAACTCTACAAGCTTTAAAATGACAGGTTGAAAGATACAATTTTTTAGAGTTATGAATTAATAGCCATATATGTCAAAGACTTTGAAAGTGCCAACTTTTTCATATTTATAGATATATTATTGAAATGATAAAAAATGAACTGCAGAAAGAGGAAAGAACTGAGAACCGCATATAATGAATCAAACATACTTAACAAGACATGTACAGACACTTTGGTGTGCATCTCTTTTATTACATTCCATTAATCAAATATTGCTAAAGACATCCATCTGAGCAAAGTGTCACAATGTTATTCTATAAAAACATTCTTTTGAAAAGAGTCCGTCCTGACATCCATATCAACTATATTTGTCTTAAGTGATTGTCAGGCCCACATTTCTCAGAAATTAAGACAATTTCTGTATGTGTCTCCTGAGCTCCCTCTCCCTCCACCCTCTTCCTCCCACCGCACTCCCACCAAGCTGGTTTAAAAAATATATATATTTAGTTGGAGAAAATGCACAAACTCCAATAATGACTCGGGAAAATCTGTGTATAAATTATTTAAATTTCTGAAAGCATGCATGATATCAATTCTAGATTTTAAGTTTTCACAAATTAGAACAGAAAATTCTCGCAATTTAGCAAAATAATTAATCTGTCCTTAAGGGGATTTTTTTTTTCCCTAATGTGACATAGACCTGATGGTTGTACCTAGTTATGATGACCTATGTTTTCATTTTTAGGCTGTTAAACTACCTAAGTATTGCAATTTTTATATGTAATAATTTCTAATGTGCAGTTGGATTTCTATTAGAGTGCTTTTCATGGAACACTAAATCTATCACTTAATATTCTACTCATTGGGAGAAACACACATAAGAGCAAACAGATGAGGAATATGAGGGATATCTCATGATCAATTGCCATCAGACTATGTAAAAATCATAGTATATTCTTAAGTTCCTTTTATTATAGGCAGATATTTCAGAAAATATAACAATGATGTACTTAAAAACACACCCTCTTTTTTCTTTAAATAACCCATGTTATTCAACTAATACATCCAGATAATATTTATAGTTCTCTACACCTATGGCTTGGTTTTGCCATACTTAAGCTGAATCTTCAAACAATTTCGGTGCCTTTTTTTTTTAACCTGAGAAAAGAAACTTCAAAAAACTTTAGAGCTAGAAGATAATCTTAGTTACTATGCAATTGAACAACCAAAATCTAAAAACTGGAAACTAGTAGCTGAATGTGAGACTGATTTTAATATCTTTATTTTTAAAGACAAAGTATATACAAAATTGAAGACAGGTAGAAAGAGGATCAATGTGTCCACGAACTGCTTAGTCAACCATCTATGAAAAGCATTTGGAAAAAGAACAAATGAGGCCAATTGTACCTTTGCCTTCATATAGATTCAATTTTCTCTTTCAGTTTGAGAAGAAAGTTTTTAGTACTTATATAAACCCTTTCCCCCTTAAAAAAATTCCAACTAACATATAAGCAAGTATTATTCAGTTTGACATAAGATAGCTAGAAACTTCTCTTCTAAACTTACAGTAACTACATAGAAAAAAAAAAATCCGGTGTGGACATGATGATTTTTAAGACTGTATTGAAGCCACCTCCAAAACCTGGTTCTTTTACTGTAAGACATCTAGAAGGCCAGTTCTTTTCTTCCGGTCGTTGGCACACTCAGAGTGACCAGCCGACTCATTGCTGTCACCCAGACACAAACCTAATAAAGTCTATTTTTAACTAATCTCCATTAACCGTGATCTGCTAGAGGATTTCTTGCTTGAATGTAAAAGAACAATAACCTGATTTAATTATTTTCTCAAAAATCACTTTCATCATTTTGTCCAGGGGGCCAAGTCCCAAAATCAGAGCAATTTTTCCCTTCCAATTTTATATTGTAAAGCTAGATTTATTTTACTCTTAACTTTAACCTTTTAAAAAAAACAACTTGTCGTATAATTAATTGCACCGGTGTTCTGGATGTCAGAACATGATTTTATTTGATTTTTTTTTTTAGACTAAAAATGAATTTTATCAAGAAAATTGACCAATATTCCTTAAATATCCTGGAAAAGCATGGAGGCTTGGATTTCAAACAAATATAAAGTGTGTTTATGATTTGGATTTTAACCAGGGTAAGAAGTATGTATCTGGCTATTGAGTCCGATGACTACAATCTATTCAGCTGTTCAATGAAAGATGAATGCAAGGAACAATTTAAGTGTTTTACTCTCATCCTGACCACAGTTCTACAAGGTAACTACATGGCTCTTATTTGACCAGTGAGGAAACGGAGGCTTCAAGAACGGAGTGACTTGCCCAAGGTCACAGTGGCAAAGTAGGTAGACCCCAGCTCCAATGAAATCTAGGCCTTTACAACTTCTAAGCCGTGTTCCTGGGAGTCTGCGGACTGCTGGGCTGAGTGCACTCAGTCCGTTCTCTTCCATAATGACTTATTAGAAGCAGCCAGGGCTCAGGGAGGTTCTTCTGTAAAAGAAAGTTTGAAAGAGCCCCACAGGGTTGGCCCAAGGAAGCTGTCAGCATTCAGGGAAAGCTCACAACCAGGCAGACACCCTATGAGGAGATTTCCTAAGAGGTCTTTTGCCAAGTGTTTGGACATCACGATCATAAGAAATTTTTAAAAGCCAGGGAACTACTTGCCTGTGTAAATCCATCTCTGTTTTTCACTTTTTAGTAATCTAACAAGATTACAAAAAAAAAAAGTACCAAGTAGAAAAATATAATTTAAAACAGAGACCATCAACTAGCAGCCTGTGGCCTGAAATCTTGTTTCAACCACACAAAAGTTTATATATTCTTTTTAATTTAGTTTCAATGCTTTAAAAATGGGATCTTTTTTTTCCCAAAAAAAATTCCAGATTTCTGGCTCACCTTAAGAATTTGGGAAATCTGGCCACCCGGTACCCATAGTCTAGCAATTGGCTAGAGCAAAATGTGTGTCATTCGAGTTTAGAAAGGCCACATACTGTCCAGCTTGACATTACTTCCTTCCTCCCCACCCACATTTCAATATGTTCAATTATGTTACTCACTTGGAACCTATGTGCGTTTTCGAGAGTAGAGCGCTGGCCCAAAGCCTTTGTGGGATCCTTAGAGAGCTGGTCCAGACTCAACTCTGCACAGACTCCTTGCCCAGCTTTTCTTGCTTCAGTACCAACAGCTCTCCATAAAGTTGGGGAAAGCTGGTGAAAAAGAAAGAAGTGGGCTTCAACAGGAAGGAGAAGCCTGGCTCTCGGTAACTCATGCTTCTTTTTAAACAAGATGAGCTGCCATTGCTCTCCCAGTCCCAACCTTCCAGGGTAGAGGCTGCAGCTACGAAGGTTGATTTGCGTCCAAAACAGGGAAGACTTTCTCAGCAGGCACCGTCTCTCCCAGTAGGAGCAGCAGGCAGGTAAAGTAACCTGCCAATTCTCAATGCCTCTTTGGAGCTGCTGAAGGAAGACCTGGGGGTACAATAAGCAACAAATGGGGAGAAAGTCAAGTCAGAATGAGATTCCCTGGTTGTGTTCCTCCTCTTTTCTCTGTTTGCATCCTGATAGTCCCCCATGACTTTCTCACTCATCCAGGGTTTTGAAACAGAGCGAACACTCAGGAACAATTGGCAGGTGATTTCAAGTCATTACCTGCCTGCCACGCTAATTACAAGCCATTACCTGCCAGCAGCATGCAGGTTTGTACAGTTTGTGAGACACGGGGAGGGTCTGCTTAACTGGAAGGATCATTTATCTCCGACTAAATAATGCCAGCATTGGCAGCCCTGTGCCTACCGACCAGTGCTACGCTATGTTCAGCTGGCGCTCATTCTGTAAGGAGCATCCTTGAAGATGCGCTCACAGCATGTTGCCTGCAGAAGGCCAGGAGGACATCCATAGTTTTCTGGCATGGATCACTATTTGCCTCAAATTTCACACTGGTGTGTATTAAAGGGGGAAAACACAAATCTCATTTTGCAGTTTTCCCTACTCTAACGACTCTTTGAAAACATACAAAATACAGAGGGAATAAAACTCTACCACTTTAAAAGGGCATTTTATAATAAATATGGTTTTAGATTGCCACCTGTTATTAATGATCAATAAGATAAAGTTCCATTACAATCTTAATTTTCACTTGCAGGATGGATATTGCTAATGCATGTAAATTATGCACGCCTCTATTAAATGAAGGTCCATCAAAAATTGTCATTTCTAATCCATACTGTGTAAAAATTGTGACACAATGGATAATTAAAAATTTTAATGCTTTCCAGTTACTTTTTAAATTATAAAGAGCCCAGTTCTGCTGCTGTTTTAAGTTTCATTTTATTGTATTCTCCAATCTCAGCATAAGGAACACAGGAATTTACTAGCTTTTAATTGCTGTAGTCAAAACCCCATTCTTTTACTCTTCTGTATCTTGGCAATGAACACAAGACACGACAGGTATGTCACACATTATATTTTGACTGAACTTTGAGGATAATTTACAGGATTTTTCCAAAAATGACACTTCCCTTTTATTCAGCAGCTTGAACATAAAGACAGAACACTCTTCTGACTGCAAATACAGCAATTATACCAAGTTATGCTTTGACACTGTTACCACAGGCAAGTGGCCAAAGAGCATCCGCAGTCAAAATATCTAAGCAAGTTAACAAGCTCCCTTTACTCTCCACAGAGCGGGAGAAGAAAGGGAATCCAACCCCTGAGAGATGTTAAAATGAAGGAGACAAAAGGCTGTTGGTGTTTGTTAAAGAAAATGGTGTCAGTGTCTTGGGCTGATCAAGGTGTAGAATCTGAGGCCCTGACAGATGCCCAGGACTGCTTTTGACAGAAAGCCTTTTTCCAGGTCAGATCTGCTTGATGATCTCAACTAATGAATGACCGGCCTGTAGCCCTTGCGTTGGAACTACACCTTGCTTTCATGGGGTGGTCGCACTGGTCTGCCCTTCTCTCACCGCCCCGCTCCCCCATCCTTTGCAAGACTGCATTTTGCCTCCTCTTTTTTTATTTTCAGCTCCATTTTATAAAATATCCCCACGTTTACCACACAAAAGACATTGAAACTAATTAAGTAAACTCCAAAGAACTATTACAAATCATTTTGCTTCAGCCAGAGATATCAGATTTAATTAGGTGATCGGTGTTGACGGGGGGACAAAAACAAAAGCTATCTCCTGTTTGAAAAGGTTCAGGCCCTATAGAGACCCAGTCTTCCCACTATGACACAAATAATAATTGAGCATTTCTTTTTTAAAAAGAAGAAGGAGACAGGCATGAAAAGCGTTTTCTGTGAGAGACAAAAGCTTTCATCGGAGGTTTGTTTTCTCTTTTTGCCAGGTGATTTAAAAAAAAAAAAAAAAGCACACCATTTACAAAGAAATAGCTATAACCAACATTGCTATCGCCATGACACAGAATATAAAGTGCTTCTAACGAGCATAATTTTTACAAGTGATTAATCAAAATCTATTTAGCCAGTCATCTCCAATGATTATCAACAGACTTGCTTCATAGTTCAACGAAAATAGTTTTTTTTCCCCATGATACCTGTCACATAGCAGCTTTTCTTTGGTGTGTAGTTAAAGTTCATATACTAGTTAAATTATCAAAATTTTAGTGAGATAGATTTCTTCTTCATAAGGAAAGTGAAAGAAAAACTGCTGGCCCCACTTCAAGCGCAGCATGGGGGTGTAAAGTGAACCCTGTTTCTGTCATTCACTGGGAGCGTGCTATTTTGATATATTGGCAATAAATAACATAGGATAGGATAATTATTTCTGAATCCATCTTTATCATGAATAAGTTGTCAAACTCTGATGCACAGATATATTGGATCTTAAAAGATTATATTCTTTGCAAAGGAAGGTAGTTTAGTTTTATTACAATATTTATTGAACTAGAAGTTCAAAATGAGATGCTTTTTTAAAACTTTTCTTCTACAGACATATGACAGCCAGACTTCTTTTGACAGTGGAAATCCATGTCATTATTGTCTTAACTCTTACCCCTGTACACATGCGCACACAAACACACACGTAGAGAGATTATGAAGAAAATCAAATACATATTGGTTTCCACATGATCAACAGTGGGCCTCTCTCGTTTCTTTTTTTTTTTTTTTTTTTTTTTTTTTTTATATATTTTATTGATTTTTTACAGAGAGGAAGGGAGAGAGACAGAGAGTTAGAAACATCGATGAGAGAGAATCATCGATCAGCTGCCTCCTGCACATCTCCTACTGGGGATATGCCCGCAACCCAGGTACATGCCCCTGACCGGAATCGAACCTGGGACCTCTCAGTCCGCAGGCCGACGCTCTATCCACTGAGCCAAACCGGTTTCGGCCTCTCTCGTTTCTAACTGATATTTATGGCGTGAAGCAGCTCTGAATAATGGCTCTTTTATATGCTGTTGTTAAACAATTTTCCTGGAATTTTTGTCCAACAAATGCACATAACTTCGTGTGATGGAAGAGCCTTAACGCTAGTCTGAAGCAGTCATACAAGCTACGCAAAAGGCCAATGCAATCAATATTTCCCGAGTTTAAGTACACCTCAAAAAATCCTTTCTTCAGCTCCTAAAATGTTGAAAGGAAAATAATTTTCTCCGTTGGCATTTAAATGGTATCGTTCCGTGTGGAGAGAGTTACTGAGACATTTGTTGGAAGTCAACAAAAATAATTTGGACATATTTTGAACTTATTTTATCTGACTCCTCGACATTTAATTTGGTGTGAAAAACGGCAACGGTAGAAAACAGATGTTAAGGGGCCAAGTATACAGCAGAGGTCAAAACAAACATAAAACACCGCTTCCATTTCTAAAAGAGGGGGGGCAAAAATGATTCCTCCAGCAACAGGTTCGATGGGAAACCTGCTTTTTTATTGTTCTGCTTGGGATATCTGTAGACTGCACAATGCAATGCTGTCTGCCGTGGAGCAGTACCTCTCAGCACTGGTAATTTAAGACTTTCTTCTCTGTAATACACTGAACCATCATAACCTGTCTCTTCCCATTTAGTTTAACCTACAACCACCACATACTGATTTGGCTGTGTGTGGCTTTTTCTATTGCCATTTATTACTCTGCTCGACTCCTGAAATTCTGTTTGCAATTTAAGGCCACAAATTAGAAGCGTAAGTCATCTGTTTCCTATAATCCCCCTGTCAGGACTGGAATCGCATTTGGAGCTCAGCACTGAGTCTGGGCCCGGGCCCTTACAGACTTTCTGATTGGCTGGCCTCGCTAAAAGCTGCAACAGAATAAATAAAATGCTCTGGAAAAATAGAGCTTTTGATCAAAATAATAAAAAAAGAGAAGGAAAAGAGAAAGAAAAGAAACTGGGTTGCAAATATTTTCCTCTCCCTTTCATAATAATCAAATCAGTTGGTACAATGGTAGGTTGGATCTGTTTTCTCCAATAAATAACAGAGCTGAATATTACTCCTTTAAGAGCAAAATGCTAAGTATTGAAGATTCCATTTGGGAGAAGAGTGTAATCCTGCTTCAATCCGCTATGTATTTTTTTGCTGCATATGGAATATCTCTTCTAAGTCTTGCTCTATTTCTGACAAAATACAGTTTTTATATTGCAGATGTAGTAATTAGCCAGGTATTTTTTAATAGTGTCATAGATCTTTTGCTAAGCTAAAAATCTGTGAAGTCCTAACCTATTACCAGGCTTTCCCTTTTACAATATTTTGGCAAATGTTACTTAGTACCCCTGGATTTTATAGAATGCTTCAATTTATCTTTCTAAAAGACATCTGTCCTTTAAATAGCGTAAGAATTTCAAAAATTTGGGAAAATGACTGTTTCTTCTTTCCTTCAGCTCTTGTTAATAGATCTCCTACCAACCCTGCTGGGCTTTAGGGACTTTTAGCATTTCCTAGTTTAAAGTATTTCTATTTTCTTTCCATTTTACTTTAAATGCACAGCATATCAGATTATATAGTAAAAACTGCAAAAAAAAAAAAAAATAGAGACATACAGAATAGCCACATCTAAAACATATTCTGAGTTCTCAGTGCAATTTTGAACTGCCATTGGGCTTTAAGAAATCATCATTCATTAACAGGAATAAAATCCAGCAGAGAGATTCATGTTTATTAATATACTAGCTATACCTGGGCCATAAAGGTTGGAAATAAATGGATCAACATTAGCTGAATGCCCCCAAAGTAGAGTTGTTCTTTCAAAAGGAAATAAAGTTCATGGGGGAAATTATATATTTAATGCAAGCTAAATTTTAGCCAAAAATTAAAATTAAGTTTAAAATATTAGCAATTTTTAGAGACAATTTTAAGAAAGACAGGAATTTTTAAGAAAAACAAGAGTCATAATAAGCCATTTGACAGTTCCATGATTATTTACAATAGCACTTCTGGAAATGTTTTGTGCTCCTGTAACTTCAATTTGATCTCTAAATCTTTTCGCATCCATCTCTGCAGGGTGTTGGTCTACAGTGCGGCCTGTGCTTTCTGGTTATTTCAGAGAAACAAAAGAGGAAAACTCGCCAAGACGCTGAGGTTTCAAAAGAAAGAAACAAACAAACAAATAGCTACTGTACATGCGCCCTCTGATTATTTTCTAGGTTTTTTTTTTCCAACCATACTTTCTGTGTTGCAGATTTATTTAATAAACAAATGCATCTTCTGGGCCCATAATACACAAATGCATGCTACTGTTAATTCATTTACAGAATGCGCCGTGATGGCCCTAAGCAAAAGAGCAATCTTGTTATAATGAATGTGTACTATTCTTAATAAGCACACTGTAGCAACGACCCGCACTGCACACAAAAGCACACCCAAACCATTTGGTTTGTTCCCAGAGCTCGGACACCAGTCCCACTATTAAATAGCTGTGCGCTGGGAGAGCAATCCAGTATTGGCATGCAAATGAGCGCACTGAGAGGCCAGATGCTGCTTTTTAGAAAGGAAAAGTGCCTCAGCTCAAATTTGGGGGGGAGAGAGAACCTGTGAATGTTACCAGTGCAGGGCAGCTTCGAGATTGTGTTCCTTTATATGACTGACAGGGGTGGAACTGCTGGTGGGATGAACCTAGGAAAGATGAATAGAAAACAGAACTTTGCAAACACGTGAACGTTCGTGAGCTCCATATTTCCATAGGTCCGCTGGAGATGGCCCGCCACGTTTCTTTGTTTATTTTGTTACACACACACACACACACACACACACACACACACACACACACACACATATAACTGTATTTTTTTATTGTTGACACTATTACAGATGTTTAATTTGTCTGTATGTGTTTTTTAAGGGGTTATTATTTTTTTCAGGTCCAAAATGATGCCTCTTGTGTTGAAAATTTAAGAAATGTTATTTCTCCTTTTTAAAATGAAGCTATTATATTCATAGGAGTTCAATGACTCTCAAAAGCTCTGTCATTTCAAAAAAATATATATTAGGTTATTGAAAAGAATGCGGATTTTTCTCTTCAAACCAGCTCATCAAGCATGACATTCATCTGTGTTTGTGAGCTTTCGTAATTTGTGGTGGACAATTGGCCCATTAGTCGCTGCCTTTATCTTATCATAACATTTGACTGCCTTGAGGATAGAGTAGGAGGGGAAGCCAGTGCCCAAGAGAATGAACCTGGACTTGCAACAACTTTGGTAGATTGTGTTCCAATCAGAATCAGGACACTGTTTTTCCTCTTGACTCATATTTCATTTTCCTTTCTTCTCAATGTTTAGGGAGTCATTGATTTATTTGATTTCTTGTAGATAGTTGGAGATGATAAGGACTGAAGTCGTGGGTATGTGTTTTGAGAAAAGGACTAATGAAAGGAAGCAGAAACACCCATACGTAGTAAAATTCACAAGGGGAGATAGCCAGATTCCTGTGACACAGCTAATTAAAATATATAAGTTTAATATGTCCCCTTTATAGTAATGGCATTTGGGGACAGAACCTTCCTCTACCCAGCTTATTAATCATGTAACAAGAGAACTTACCATATATCTTATTTCTCTGAACATTTATCTGAATACATACTATTGCCTTGATACTGCTCAAAGCTCTAAGAAGAGTTGTTAATCACAGGGAATAAAAAGGCTCATGGTATTGGCCAAATCTACATATTAAACCTCCTGGTTGTGGGTTATTAATTATAAACCCACAATAAATAAATCTTCTTTGCAGAAATACTGACTTTAGTAAAAATAGAAATGGATATAAATATATGTGGTGGACTTATTTCAAATTATTTTTCTTAGTTGATCATAGCAGTACCTTTAAATTTCTTTGCAGCCTTTTCCCATCAGTCCATTGGTTCATAAACTATATTTATACACTTAATAGAAATTTATTTGAACACTCTGTTAGTTTCCAAAGACTATCTACATAACAAAGGATCATAAACCAAGTGTCTTAAAACAGTAGACAGTTGTCCTGTTACAGTTCTGGAGCCTAGAAATTCAAAATCAATGTGTTTTCGGGGCCATGCTCCCTCTGAAACTTCTCAAGAAGGGTGTGTCCCTGTCTCTTCCAGCTTCTGATAGCCCCCGGCATTCTTTGGCATATGGCAGCCAACTCCAATTTCTGCTTCTGTCTTCACATGGCCTTCCTTCCTCTGTCTGTGTCTGTTTCTTCTACTCTTTTTAACAACATCAGTCATATTACATTGGGGCCCACCTTAATTCAGTAAGACCTCATTTTATCCTGATTACATCTGCAAAGACACTATTTCCAAGTAAAGTAATTTCTACACACACTAGGAGTTAGGAGTTAACATCTTTTGATGGGGAAAGAATTCAAACCATTGTAAGTACTTACTGAATACCAGGCACTTGCATTGGGGAATTTTATCAATGGCGATAAGATCCTATAAAAGTTGTTGTGGAATTCATTATAAGAATGTTATTAAAGACATATTGACTTCATCATATAGAGTTCTACCTAAGAGAACTTGGGAGAGTATGCTCTCAGGACTCGGCGTGAGGAATCATTGAGTTTTTTCCAATTGTCTTTGTTAATGTTAGATGCTTTTAGTCTCATAACTGATCTTATTTTTGTCTTTGAATTGGCTGTTAGTATTTTCAGAATCTAATTTGGACCAATCACAAATAAGTATACAATAACTACATAAATGTATTTTATATAATAAACTTTGCTCATTTCTATCTTATTTTTCTAAATTTTATTTCTTTTTGCCATTTTCATGTTTTTATCTTGACAATGCATTATTGGAAATGGCATTTAATGACTAATTCTGGGGCAAAGCAAGTCACAAATAAATACATTTTTAATTAATTGGGATAAACTCAAATTAGATTTCCCTAGACCAAAAATAATTTTAAAAATAAAATATATCATGAAAAAGAATATTTTACAAATATTAACCTATTTGTTCTCAACAACTAGGAATAATCAAAGGTTAATGGTATGACATAGGACATTTATTTATAACATAGGTTGAGTCCTCATGTAGTACTAAAGTCTGAGAGAAATATTTGAAGCAATAAAGTTTCTGAAAACTTCTGTATGCCCTACAATAAATTAAAATAAAACAACTAATTAACATGGTAATTTGCTTCAGATAACTGAAAGCTATCAAATAGCAGAAGGAACAGACACTATCTTCTCAGAGACAAGATTTGTATCAATCACTATAGTGTATTGCAAGGCAGAGTGTGAAGAACCAATAACCCGAGATGACCAACACTGGGAAAAGGATATCCCAGTCTTAACTTTCCATTATTAGAAACGTTCAAGCAATGACATCCCATGAGTCAGGGATCTGAAATAATTAATCTAAGCATTTATTAAGAAGTTGGCTCAGAGAGCTATATTTCCTTCCATCCAACTCCAAAATCTTAAGATAAATGACTTATTTTAAAAATATAGCCATTGTTTTAATATCATTGGTTACATTTAAACAGTTCCAAATTTATAATTTCACATTTAGAAAAGAGTCGGACATAGTAATTTGTTCTATCCAGGCACCAATTGTACACCAAAACTTTCTTTCTACAATCTTACTGAATAGCACAGCCACAAAACCTAGAATTTGGGTCAACAGGCCATATTTCAACTTAGTAATTTTTTAAAAAAATATCAAGAGAAAATTATTTGTTCAATAACGTGTAGCAAGTCTAGAGCATAACCAGAATTAAAAGTTACCACTCCTGATTCCAAAGAATTAGTAAATAATGACAATCACTACTCAACCAACTCAATTCAAGCCGCACTGGCTTCTCCTTATGTAATCCTTAGACACCTCGTTTCTGAATCCAGTCGCTAAAAAGCATAGGATGGTCCTGTGGCTCTTCGAGTGACAATTGTGAATGTGTTTCAGAGTTTCATCACTTTCAGACCATATCCATGCACGTTGGTCATTGTCAGGACTAAACTTTTTTTCCCATGCACACATCGGTGAGCCAGATTTCCTTACGGCAGGAAGGCAGGACTTACCCGGTCATCTCCCTGTAAACATATCTACTGTGCTGTGCTGCCCTTTGATTCCTGGGTTTTCTTACACAGGGACGTGCACTCGGTTTGGTGGACAACATCATTACTCCTTCCTCCCTTTCCCTGATGGATGACAGACTATTGCAACAAACACTGAGCAGTCCCTCCCTGTGATTTCTGGCTTTCCCAGTGACATGCTCTGTAACTTCACCCAAGCCACTCACCCTTCCTATGAACACGGTCCTTCCGTGGAGAACTGGAGGTCATTGGTTTCACCAGATCCCATTCAGGAATCACTGAAGTCTGCACTTGAAAGTACATATAGACAAGGGAAGTATTATCGTTATTATTGTTGTTATTTATGACTAATACAGCTGCAGAACTTGGAGATTTACGATCTCCCCGTGGATTTTACTGTGGCCTCCAGAACCTGAGATTTAATTTTAAAAGAATTAAATTTCCAGTCTGCTTTTACAGGGGTGACTGTGAGTACGGATGCTGACAGACTGTTGTCTTCAGAGGCAAAAGCCAGACACCCAAAGACAATGCCACAGCTCGAACAGGGGGTGACCCTTTCCCATTCATCTTAATGGAGTGTTAAACTTGAAGCCTAATTAGGTCCACTTAAATGCCAACATTATTATACTTTTCTCTGCTTATCTTCATACCAGAAACAATCAACTAATGCACTCATTTAATCTGAGTGCGTGCAGCGATCACATCCAGACACCCTGTCATTTTGATAGCCTGCTTTGCAGTCATAAAAGTACAACTTTTAAACTTGCACTTTGGTTGTTTTTAATTATCCACATAATTAGATTACTTTCTATTACCTTGAAATTTTAGAGGTGAGGCTGCATACACATACATACACATACGTATGACGTTTGTCAGGCAGTGGGGCCTGATCACGATTCCCACAAGAAACTGGTATCGGACTTGCTCCCAGGATAACAAACTAAGATGTGTTAAATGAAAGATCCCACTCCTGCCCTTCAGAGAAGGTCAGCTTTAGAGTTTATACGTTGCGTCTGTGCCTGAGCTTCCCACATTCCCTTTCTGATTCATTGTTGCTGCCTGGACTCCATTTTAATTTTTAATTCCTACAACAAACCTTGGGAGAAACAGAATTTAAAATATATAAATCCACACTTGCCTACTTTGTACCAAGGGAATCCAGATCTGGGGGCTCAATTAAAAGCCCTTGACAACCTTATAAAATATCTCGTAAAACTGTATTTATTTACTCACAGCTATAAGGAGGTTAGTCTGTTTCTCTTTAATGATCTCTGTGCCAAAATGGCATACAAGAACACTTTTGGAAGTTCATCATCAAGGGTATGGATAAAGACGTTGGTGGATATCTTCAAGATGGGACAGGTTTCCCACCCCTCCGCCTACACACCCTTCCACTGATGGCCATACCTCTTGTCCCCCACAGCTGAATGTCAAAGAACACGATGCATGCAGGAACCTTTTCCAAAAGTGTCTGTGATCGATGCTGATAGTACACACCTTGGTTTTCTGACCCTTCCTAGACAAACAGAAGATTATATTTCTTAGCCCCTTTTGCAATTGGATGGGACTATGAATAATCCTGGCCGATAGAGTGGGACATGGAAGGAGGTCGCTTTGGGGAAAAAAATACTTGACAGCCACTGCCCACTCCCCAATGCTTTCTTTCTCAACTTAGACAAACCCTGAGGCTTCATGTTGAGATAAAGGTGCAATGAGATAGACGTAGCCTGATATGCTTGGTCCTCACATGGAGAGGCCCTGGGCCAGCAGAAGGCTCGCATGTCTGAGAACAATATCCTTTTGGTTAACCATGAAGATTTTGATATTATTTGTTGCTTTATGTTGCCTAGTCTTTCTGAGCTAAAACAATGTCTCAGAATTAATTTCTAAGCCTAACCTCACCAGATGGATATCATATGTAACTTTCATCGCTGCCTTCTTCCAGCATCAAGTACAAGCGAGTGATCGAATGAAGATGCAAAAGTCACTCCAAACAGTCGACCGGGCTCCGATTTCACTCCTCATCGTTGCCTCCCTTGTGTCTTCTACTTTGATCTTGAAAGAAGTAAACTAAGTCACGTCACAAGCTGCTCTTTTCCACCAAGAAAGAGACTGGGAAGACAATGGGTTGTGCACAAGGCTCAGGGCATTTTCCGAGACAGAGAATTAATATCCAAAGGCAGGCAGGCCAGAGTCAGAGGGTTGGGAGGAAAAAAAATCCCGTAGATAAAACCCTACATTTCAGGTTTGTATTACCCAAAGAGGCACCAGGGCCAATGCCCATTCGCTAGCTATAAAATAAGCAACTATCCAGAGGGCTATTAAAGAGAACAGAAAAAAACAAAAGGCATCATAATCTTTAAAAAGGAGGCTTATGTGAATAAAAACATCAAATTAAATCTGAATTGAGCCAGGCAGTATTTTGACTGAGCCTTTTAGATGGCACTTGCAAACATCTAAACTTTGAAAACAGTTGCTCTGACCACTTTGTAAGGCAAAAAAAACCTGATTTTTACTTTGACAGGAATATGTTTAATGTGTTTACATTAAATCGGGTCACGTGGTTTCTGACTTCAGAAGGAGTTTGTTTCCCACTTACACACTCAGTTAAGAAAATTCCCTAGATGATACATGGATACTAATGAGCTCCAGCAGGGACTTAAGGAGGAAAATGAGCCTTAGGGAGCCTTGGTAAGAAGGGAGGAAAGTGTGAGATGGAGAGAAAGGGGGAAGCGACCACTGGTGAACAGGCAGGCCACATGGCCAGGAGCCCTGTGAGTTATCTAAGTAAGGATCGGCTTGGTTGCTACAGAAGATTGCAAGCCAAGAAGACCATGTGCGTAGTGGAAGGCACACTCACATCAGAGTCAACTGGCACTGGGAAAACAATTCCCCAATTACCACCTCTGACCTTCAGCATGTCGGTCTCCCCATCAGCAAAACAGAGATAAACATACCTACATCATAGCGCTAGTGTGGGGAGGAAGTTTTGGATAAGACCATGCATGTAACGTTCCTAATACACTGACCACACAGAGTAGGTTTGCAGTTAACATTAACTCCTACTAGATTTGCATGCTATGTGAATTTCACTTGGTAATAAAAACCATATGTACGCAGCAACTTGGCGGGGGGGGAGAGTGGTACAGGCGAGTGCCCTCAATGATTGGGTTTCCCTCGTGAGCAGGGAGACACAATGCTGACATTTCTTCAGCTGAGCTCAAGTCCTAACTGACTGAGGTAGTGTGAGTATTTCCCAGGGGCATATATATGATGAAATGGAATTTTTAGGATAATTTTCACCTAAAATTTCATTTGGAATTTTACCCCTCAACACTACATAAGGTGCAACTCTGCTGTTATGATACAGTAAGGAATCCTTATGCTGCAGTTTGTGAAAGAACACTCACGGTTTTGCTAAGCACACTTTTTATATGTTCTCTCCTCCACCATGAAAAGTAACATGGTGTTGCAAAGACTACAGCACTGGGGCCAGCAGACCTGGGTCAAATTTTAGCTTTTCCATTTGCTAGTTCTGACATAAAAGCAAGCCCTGAACATCTTTGAACTTCCATTTCCCCATCAATAAGTTGGGGTAACTCAGAGGAATGTAGTGAAGAGTAATGTGCCTAGCATAATGCAAGCAACAATATGAACTCTCTCCCAAAGCCTAAACCCCTACAATTCTAATAAGAGTTATCAGAACATTCTGTTATTTGTGTGCAACTCTCTCTCACCGGATTATGAGTTTCTCCAAAGCAATAGCTAGGTTATTTTATACTTCGTAATCCACATATTTGGAAGGAGAGAGTTAGGAATTTGGCTCTGGAAGAAGAAATCAAAAGTGATCATTGTTGAGCACAAATGAAATAAAGAAAACTATATTATCCCTCCCCTTGTTATCCTTTCCAACCCCAACAGGAACTGGAAGAAGTCATCTGTAAGCATTGTCTCAGCTCACGCACCTCAAGTCCTTTCCTCTGTGCACTCCAAAACACAGCCATTTCCATCATTTTAATACTGCTTGGGCCAAAGTTACCACTGACCTCTATGTTGTCAAATCCAGAACTCTCTATTCTCTTACTCAACCTATCCTCACCCTTTAGTGTAGTTGACTGCTGTCTTTTTCTTAAAATTCTTTCTTCTCTTGGCTTCTATGTCACCATGCTCTCATGGCTTTCCTCTGTTCAGTCTCCTTTGCTGACTCGTCCTGTTAATAGACTTCTAAACTTTGCAGTGCCAATTCATTCCTGGCCCTCTGCGCTATCTACACCTTTTCACTAGTGTGCCCTTCCATTCATTCATTGGGTAGTGAGTATCATTCTTTATCTCTTACCATTCCTCAGAAATCCAAACTCATCTAACCAACTGTTACTTGAGGTCTCCAGCTGTATGCCAAATAAATAAAAATTCACACGCCTAAAAGAGAATTTTAGATTCCCTCCCCTCGCCCCAACTGACTCCTGCCCCAGGGTTCTTCATCTCGTTAAGCAGCACTATTCTCCTTCGGAGATCAGGACAATAATCTAACACAGGGCTTCTCAAGCTTTAATGTGTACATGAATCGCAGGGGAGCAGGGAGGTCTTCTAGTTCAGTTGGTCTGACTTAACGCATATGATTGTGCACTTATAACAAGTTCCAAATGATGTGATACTGCTGGTTCTCAAATTACATTATTGAATAGCAAGGATTTTGGAGATCAGTGCCTCTGTTTCCCTAAAGCACATCCACAAATACATACTTTAAAAAATCAGCAATGTTTCATCAACCACCTTCCTCCAGAATCTAGCTGTTCTTCAACTCACAAAACCTGGTCAATGCTACTCATCCCCCTTCTCTCATGCTACCATCATAGGCTCCTACCTAGCCCCCTGCTTCTAATTGGTCCCTGACTTGCAGGATGTTACCTCCACTGCAGCCTTATAATACTAATCACATCACATCACTACCAAGTTTTGTGTTTTAATCACACCTACAGTTAAATCTCATCAATGACTCTTGAGTGGTCCCTGCCTCTCCTTCAGCCTAATTTGGTGTCACTCACTCTGTGGCCAATGATGCTCCAGTCACATGGACCCTTCGTTCCTTAACCTTGCCCAGCTCACTCCCACCTTGAGGCTTTTTGCATTTGCTGCTCCCTCTGCTTGGAAGGCTCTTGCTCTCTTGATCTTTCACATGGCTGGCTCCTTTCTGTCATTCAAATCACAGCTTAAATGTCATCTCAGAATGACCTTCCCAGACCACCCGATCCAAAACAGCCACTCTGTAACCTGTCACTTGATATCAGATCACTGTCTTATTTCTCTGCATTTCACTTGTTGCTATGTGATATTTTATGGATTATTTATTGATTGGCTTATGCTCTCTCTTCCTACCTCCTGTTCCCTTCCTCCTACCCACACTAAGAGGTAAGCCTGGGAAAGCAGAAATTATGTCTAACTTATGACCAGTTGTGATCCCAGCATCTAGGTCAATTTCTGATATTTAATAGATAATCAACAACCACTTGATGTATGATTTGATGAATAAGTGATTCAATAAGAAGTTCTGGAGTCTATTACAGAAGGAGAGAGTACGCAGCTCCTTGGCATCTGGGCTTTCCACCTATTCTTGCAGGAGGATCCTTCTTAAATCCTCCTCTGAGTCCTCCAATCCCACAATGCTTAAAAGTGAAGATGAACATCGAGGGATGAATTGCCATCACTTTTGTGATGCCACAAGCACTAGAATTCTGCTCATTTCAATAAAAGCCAGTCAGTTTCTCAAATAAAAAGAGCAGCTCCTCTGAACATGAACTTAATTTCCATGACTCTCCAATGACCACTTTCAGAAGCTTTACTTGAATCTATAGCCATTTAATATTTGAGGGGTGGGAGCTCACTCATAATGATTTGAATATGGAGCTTGATTAGATTATGCAGCACATGCATGGAAAGAGGGTAGTTCCAGTGGATCACAAAGTGTGGTCCCCCAGCCAGCATTTTCTGCATCACCTGGGAACTTATTAAATATGCAGATTCCCAGGCTCTGGCTCCAACATTCTGAATAGAAAGTCTCAGGATGGGGCCAAGCAATTTGAGTTTTAAAGATTCTCCAGACGTTTCTGATGCATGCTAAAGTTTGAGAACCACCCATTTAAACCATTTACATATAGCATGCCTGGGTATTAGCAGGCAGATATTCTGGAATACCTTTCATTGACCTAAGTTTATCCAGGAAACAGGACTCAACCTAACCCCTTCACTCAGCTTCCGTTTATCTTCTATATCACTCTCCTTTGTTCCCTCCAATTTAGCTGATACCCTCTAGTGCAGTGGTTCTCAACCCTGGCTGCACATTAGAATCACCTGGGAATCTTTTTAAAATCCTGATTTCTGGGCCTCATCCTCCAGAAATTCTGTTTCTTTGTTATGGGGTGGGGCCACAACATTAGTAACAAAGAGACAGAATTTCCGGAGGATGAGGCCCAGAAATCAGGATTTTAAAAAGATTCCCAGGTGACTCTAATGTGCAGACAAAGTTGAGAACCACTGCTCTAGTGATTCCACTGGTTCTTGGTATTCAAGGAAAGAAATAACACCGGATGTTTAAACTAACCATGCTGGGTAGAGCTCTCTCTCTCTCTCTCTCTCTCTCTCTCTCTCTCTCTCTCTCACACACACACACACACACACACACACACATAATGAACTTATTGAATCATTTATTTATCAAATCATACATCAAGTGGTTGTTGATTATCTATTAAATATCAGAAATTGACCTAGATGCTGGGATCACAACTGGTCATAAGTTAGACATAATTTCTGCTTTCCCAGGCTTACCTCGTAGTGTGGGTAGGAGGAAGGGAACAGGAGGTAGGAAGAGAGAGCATAAGCCAATCAATAAACAATCCATAAAATATCAAATAGCAACAAGTGAAATGTTTTTATATTCACTTTAATAATTTAGTAACTACCTGTAATCTCGGTTATTGAGCACGGCAGTAAATGTAGTAAGACTCTCTTACTTGTAAAAAAAATAATAATA